TTGGAAGGATATTTTGGTCTGTTCGTGTGGGTTGACCACCGATCCAACCAACAAATAGACAAAAACATAAACAAGTCATAAAAAGGCGATCGAACAAGTTTCTGAGATGGAGAAGAGCGTGAACCCTATTCTGTGAATAAGATGGCCTTTTTTTTCATTACTGTTAACCTTGGTTTCTAACTTTTGATGTTTACAAAACAATGGATAATACTAATATTTCTTTAAGAAATATTTTCAGTTGTGAAGCAAATCAAATTCAAAGATCAAGTGCAATAGAAAGGGACAAAAACTGCTGAAAGCTGTCGGACACTTGGATCGGACGTCCAATAATCATTGCGTAACTTTGGACGCTGAATATGTCTCCACCGGACGTCCGATAGAAACAAGATGATTTCTCAAATTTCTTTGTTTGCTGTCGGACACACAAAGAGCTTGCACCGGACGTCCGATAGAATTGAAGAAAATTTCTCAAACTCACTGCTTGCTGTAGGACGCAAAAAACAGGAGTACCGGACGTCCGATACTCCAACGGCTAGTTGACTGTTCAACTACTTTCTATCCGTTGGAAGCATTAATGAAGCACTTTCTTGGTTTCTTATAAATAGAGCATGGTCAGAATCTTTAAACAACTTTTGCACACTGAAGATACAAAAGATCTAGAGTGATTTTAGTAAGAAAATACTCTCCAAGGAAGATTTGTTGTTTTAGTGGTGTGAGATTCATTGTAAACTTTTCATTTGTGAGTGAATATTTCATGAGTATAGCTCTGTGAGGGTTGTCCTGAGGGATAGTAAAATTTTCTAACTTGACCGAGTGGAGTTCGGGGCAAGGAGGAGATGAACCTTTCTTTGTACACAAGAGTGATTGTAATTCATCAACTTGAAAAATCTTGTTTGATTTAATCTACAAGCTCAGGAGGAGTTGGGTAGATAATTGGTTTGCAATTCTTTCCTTTTTATTTACTTATTGTTACGTTTGTGATCTTTACATTGTTTATCTCTTCTATTTGGTTATTTTCGATCCTTACAATTGGTATCAGAACTTGGTCTCTTAGAGATTAAGGTCAATCGACTTAGCAGTAAAAATGACAACCAACAATATCATTTTTTGGAAGGACATTCTATCATTAGACCACCTATGTTTAATGGGTCTAATTATGTGAGTTGGAAAGAAAGAATGATTATCTTTTTACAATCAATTGATATTGAATTGTGATTTATTATTAGTGAAGGTCCATATGATGCATATCTTATAGATGAAAATACTTATAAATTTAAACCAAAAACAAGAAGTGAACTGACTATTGTGGATAGAGCTCATCTCACCTTAAATGTTAAAGCTATGAATGTGTTATATTGTACTTTAAACTCAAACGAATCTATCAGAGTCGAAGGCTGTAGATCTGTTAAAGAGATTTGGGATAAACTCAGAAAAATTCATGAAGGAAGTGAGAATGTGAGAGAACAAAAGAAATCCATTCTGGTCACTAAGTATGAATCATTTAAGATGGAACCTCATGAAAATATTGACAAGATGTATTGCAAATTTAATAATCTTATTAAGGACTTAGAAGTACTTGAAAAGGATTACTCTCTAGGTGAGAAAAATGAAAAAATTCTGAACGCTTTATCCAAGGAATGGGAGAGTAAAGTGACTGCCATTGAGGAAACTAAAGATCTAAATACCTTACCCATTGAATCTCTTATTAATTCTTTAACCTCTTATGAGCTGAAACTCAAGTCCAAGGTGTAGGAGGAAGAAGATACATAGTTGAGAAAGAGTATTGCTCTAAAAGTCTCACAAGATGAAGCTGATTCAGCCTCCTTAGATGAAGATGACATGGAAGGTGATGACAGTGATATTGCACTCATCACGAAAAGCTTCAAAGGAATACTCAACAAGAGGAGATTCAGAAAAGGTGGACCCAGCAATTCATTGCTAAATCAGTTCAACAACCTGAGAAACAAAGGGAAACTAGAGTACAACAAAAAGCAAACTGATAAGTGCTTTGAATGCGGCCAACTTGGACACTACGCAAGTGAGTGTCCAATGAAGAAGAGGAACGGTGAAAGAAAACCAAGATTCAACAACTTCCAGTTCACATGGAATGGATGCAACTCTGTGGTGAAATTGAAGAGGAAGATGAATCTGCTCAATTGGCTTTCATGGCCATTGGAGATGATGAGGTAACAACTTCTAACTCTCAATTTGAAAGTGATGATGAAATTAATGATGATTTTGAATCTTTCATTATAAAATTACATGATAGTTTGAAAGAATATTATGCTAGAAACAAGGAATTAAAACATAAAATTAGCTTTCTTTTTCAGGACAATGCACGTCTTTTTCAAGAAAACAAAAAATTGAAAACTGAAAGTGATTTCTTAAAAAGGAGTGAGACTGTTTTACACTTTGAGCTTGATAGAAAAACAAGATTTTGTAAAATGTTAAACAATGAACAATGGAGTTTGAAAAGAAGAATGGATGATCTTAATCAGTTGTTTCAACATAAGAAACAAAATTGCTTTCAAAGGATTGATACAAAACCTCATTTTGACATACATGGAAAAAGGTTGAATTCTAGTGCAAATGAATTTACCATTTACAGAAGAAGGTAAGTTAGATTTATTAAACCTGTTCATGTAAATAATCCTTTGGTTATGTGTGATTTTTGTTGTCAAAAAGGTCACATGAAAAGTGATTGCTATGTGAGAAAGAACATGAGAAGAGGCATAAAATGCATGTGGATAGTTAGACATGATGCTAACTCTAACAAGTAGGAGATATTGGTCAGATTGGTGTAATTCTTGTTCATAATGCTTTTTTGTAATTCTCTTGTGATATTTCTGATACTTTGAACTGAGTTTTCGTTGATATTTTTTAATATTACTGAATTTGTATGATGTCAAAAAGGGAGAGAAAAAAGTAATTCTTATCTAATGATGATTTGCTTTGTTAAACTCTCTGTGATATGTTGGTACTTCTTTTGGTAACAAGTCTCTATGATATGTTGGTGATTACTGGATTCTGGTATCAATTCTCTGTTATTGTTGGAATATTGGATACTTTCATCTTATGATGACAAAAAGGGGGAGAAATGGATACTATGTGTAAGGGGGAGTTATTCTGAGATTATAAGTTTAGATGCAATGAGTGAGGGGGGGCTTATGCTCGCTCATATGCTCAATCTTTTTCCTTCTTCCATCCATTATTTTGTCATCATCAAAAAGGGGAGAATGTTGACCTTGGTCTCTAACTTTTGATATTTACAAAACAATGGATAATGCTAATATCTCTTCAAGAAATATTTTCAGTTGTGAAGCAAATTAGATTCAAAGATCAAGTGCAATTGAAAGGGACAAAGGCTGCTGAAAGCTGTCGGACGCTTGGATTGGACGTCCGATAATCATTGCGTAATTTCGGACACTGAATATGTCTCCACCGAACGTTCGATAGAAACAAGATGATTTCTCAAATCTCTTTGTTTGCTATTGGACGCACAAAGAGCTTGCACCGGACATCCGATAGAATAGAAGAAAATTTCTCAAACTCACTGCCTGCTGTCGGACGCAAAAACAGGAGTACCGGACGCCCGATACTCTAACGGCTAGTTGACTGTTCAGCTACTTTCTTTCCGTTGGAAGCATTAATGAATCACTTTTTTGGTCTCCTATAAATAGAGCATGGTTAGAATCTTTAAACAACTTTTGCACACTGAAGATACAAAAGATCTAGAGTAATTTTAGTAAAAAATAACCTCCAAGGAAGATTTGTAATCTTAGTGGTGTAAGGTTCATTGTAAGTTTTTCATTTGTGAGTGAATATTTCATAAGTGTAGCTCTATGAGGGTTGTTCTAAGAGATAATAAAACTTCCTAACTTGACTGAGTGGAGTTCGGGACAAGGAGGAGATGAACCTTCCTTTGTACACAAGAGTGATTGTAATTCATCAACTTGAAGAAGCTTGTTTGATTTAATCTACAAGCTCAGGAGGAGTTTGGTAGTTAATTGGTTTGCAATTATTTTCTTTTTATTTACTTATTGTTATGTTTGTGATCTTTATATTGTTTATCTCTTCCATTTGGTTGTCTTCGATCCTTATAATTACTCCAACCCCTTTGTCTTCAATCTCCGGTCAAAAAAATTCCAAACCTTCGGCAATAGCATCCAATCCAACGAAAATACCCAAATGGTTTTACAGTTTTAGGAAATTCATTTCCCACTTTCTATTTCCTTTTTTCATTTCATTTTTATTCATATAAAATTGAGTATGCAAAAAAGCAACAGAAAAGTCAAGAACAACATGGTGAAAATAACAATTTAATTACACTAAAATTTAAAAGGTACAACTCTGACTACTTTTGCAAAAAGGTAATGCAAATATGCTCCCTTTATTCTTTCTCTTTTATCAACATAGATTTAGGGTACGTCGGTGCTTGATACACGAGTTAACTAAAACACATTGGTGCTTGATACATGAATTAATATCCAATCTTCATGGGACCACAAGTTCACATTATTAGGAGTTGAATGAGTGATTTGAAATAAAAGTTATGCCCGAGTGGAATAGACTAATGGATTAATAAATATTCTATGGAAAAATTAAAATATACGTACCCGAATTGCAAAAGCATAATTGGATTAATATCTTCATTTTGACATACAACATAATTAAGTTAATAATCTCGAATATGACTGAGCAAGCCATTTTTATTTTTTTTTTGGCAAACTCCATAGAGAGAGATGTCAGCCTTATATTTTATTAATGAATTTGAAATTCGGAGGGGATATATACCTAACCTCCAACAAGACTGAGCAAGACAATTACCAATACAAGGTTTATGCACTTATTTCACATCAATACAATGTGTGGTACACGCTAAACAATAATACAGCACAAATCGACCAAGTATATAAGGACACCAGGCAACTCAGCTATTTCAAGCAAGGTGTTGGCAAATTCTTGAGATTTAGAGAGCATATGGTTTGCCCTCCTGATCAAACGACTCAAACAACCCACCTATTTCAATCAAATTGTTGGCAAATTCTCGAGGTTTAGAAAATTGAACCATATGGTCTGCCCTCGGATTTGCCTCACCACTTGTGGAGGAGTCCTCGCTATCATAAGCCTTTGCGCTTCAGGAGTAATTAGCTTATCCTCCAAGTCAATAACATAGGCTCGAGGAACTGATCCATACCTCTCTTTTGTAACCCGAATTTGTCTATTTGCCACATCTCCATAGAAGAACTGAGTTAACCTTAAAGAATAATTTGCAAGTTTCAGATCCTGTTGAAATTATTAGACATTAAATTGCAATGGAAGGAGAATATAAAATTGAACTCAAAGGTGCCCATAGACCAAAGCGTACATATTTAGTGCAGATTCTTAAAATAAAATGTAATGTTAAGCAGAAAGTATTTTCACAAGCACATACATGCAAATTTCTTAGCATAACTACATATATATCCAATTCCTTCAAGTTTCATAAAGAAATCAAAGGAAAAATGTTTGAAGGAGCTTTTGACTATTAAAAAATTTAAACCCAATTAGAACGTGATGATATGACTTCTTTAGAGCATGATCCTATTTTCATTTCTTTTTGCTTTAGTACAAGCTATAACTAATAACGAATAGCTTCTTCTTTTGTTTCTCTTTTTTTTTTTCAACAATAACCAATAGCTTCAATCCACACATTTTCCCTTGTATGATAACTACTTTCCTTGTCTAATAAACCAACGAGGAATAAAAGTTAGAAATATTATAACTCATTATTTTCTCAAGGTAAATAGTTGTTTTTAAATAACTTATTTATCTGAATTTTATGTTTTGCAATTGTGAAATTTATATAATAAGGCTACAAAAGGAAATGAGATCCATAAATGACTTTGTCGTAAAGTTCCTTAATATGCTAGTTGACTTCTTAGATGGATTCCTTTTCTTGACTTCTCATTCCAAAAAGTACATCTAATTAACCAGACGTCGAATGTGTAACAAACTAGCACTTCTTTTTTCATGACTTTGCTTTTTTTTTCCTATTTGGATAATTATTTTTCCTATACAACTCTCTTGATATCCCCTTTTCCTTTCCCCTTATAAAGTTTTTAGCATTTTCATTGGATAAAAAGATTATTTTCACTTCCTATCCTTGAATGCAACGTCAAAGATTGCCATATTAGTTCCATCATGTATGGTTGAATATTGACTTAGTTACCTCTGGCGGAGAATTCTGGTAGAGCAGGGTTGCTGCAAAGTGGGGCCCAATGAGCACAATTCTTATAGGATCTCCAATAACGAAACTGTCATCTAGTTGATCTGGCCGTGGCAGGAGCTAGAGCAAAGCACAAAACAATAGTAGTCAAAAACGAGAATTGAAATGCGGGTGACTGTTGGAGATCATATGAAGCTAATGCAAAAAATAGCACGAGGCAGCGACAAACAATAGAAATAATAACTCATAGAAACACAAATATGTTTGCAGTTTGATGAAAGAAAATTCTGAATAAAGAATTCCATCATTTGGAACGAGAGATTTGAAGAAGAATTTGAATTTTTCTCAAGTTTCAATCATTGTTTAGATTCTGTAAAAGATATTTGACTTTAAAAATTATCAAATATTCTTGTGTTTCACATTTATTAGTGTAATTAGTTAATTAAAAGAAAAAATGTCTCTTAAAAAATTCAAATAACTTGAGCGACTGTTTCGGCTGAATTTTAAACTTTTTCATCAAATTTTTCTATCTAAATCAAGCCTAAAATCAATTAGCTTTAACGATGACCTATATAATAAACAAATACCTTGTTAGTGTCCTCTAGTGTAAAGTTAGGCCCCACCATGAAGGCTGAAGAAAAAATGCCACCAAGAACCTTTTCTCGAAACCTTTCCTTGACCAGGAAACACCATAACCACCATAGTTGTGGCCAACGAGGACTACCTTATCCTCAGGAGATAAAGACTTCATGTCTTTGGATAGAGGTTTATGGTATTCATCAATGGTGTGCACTCTTTCGAGTGGCACTTGATTTCTCCCAGAATAAGCTAAATCCAAAGCCGTGACATTGTGGCCCTTTTGCTCCAGCAAGTCGCCAACTTATACCAACACCATGCCCCATGACCGCTACCATGAATCAACAGAAAGTGTAATGCAGAGGAAGAGGGAGAATAAGCCAAGAATACTATGACAAGGCCAACTAGAAATCTATTGAAAGCAGCCATTTTTGTTTCCTTTTTGAGGTGTCTTATTCGTGTACTTATATACTAGTCTTGAGAGGTAGAGAAAAGATCTTGTGAGCTAGATTAGTACGTGATAAGTTTGGTCAATATGCTGGCTGCTACAAACTTAGTTAAATATGTAGGCTGCTACGAACTTAGTTTAGTAGTATTTCTTATAGAACTTAGTTTAGTAGAATATACACCGTTTCTAGGGCATTTCATTAGCGCAGCCGTTGCATTAATAGAGTGAACGAATAGTACGCACAACAGCATAAATTATACACCAGCAAAGAGCTATTTAAGTACGAAGAAAGCTGACAAGTTACTGAGAGGACAACGGCTCCAATTGTTGTCAGACAAACCGTTTGGACCGGTTTTTGTTCACGACACACAAATTATAATCTCATTTATTCAAATTGTAATTCATTTTCAATAACGTGTAAAATAGAATAACATTTTGTAAATCTCACTGTTGACAATGGAATTTTAATTAAATTCTAAAAATTACCATTGGTCTATAAAATATTTTTGTCCAATCGGATATTGCTATATGGCATGTACACTTGGAAAAATTGGTTATTAAATGGCAAATTATATTTTGCCACGTGTCAAGGCGAGGTATTCCAGATCAATTCAAATTGCAGGGATATTTTCACCAACCAAATCATATCATGTCACATGTTTATTGGATAAATATCTAAATATTTATTTCTTATTAAAGGGATAATATTTAGAATTATTTAATCCAAATATATCTCTTATATACTGCAATAGTTTGGCCAGTCAAACGACGCCACGTCACGTGTCCCCACGAGTTTGGCCAATCGATAAATTACTTATCTCTTTATCAATAAATATAAAATGAATAGATAATATTTAACTGGTACAGTCCTAATATGACTGCATGTCTTGCAAGATAAGTAAAGTAGTACACGGGTCTTCAACCTCTATCCCTTGTTACAACTATAAATAGAGGTCTCTTAACCAAATCGAAGACACACAAAGACACCAAGAGGCATCTCATACACTCAAAGCATTGGAGCTCCAAGCTACAACGGCTCGGATCTTCAAGCTCTCCAAGTCTCCCATATATCAAGACTTGAGTTTTCAAATATTTTCTAAAGTTTTTCAAATCTTCTATATCAAGATTTGAAGGAACCGGTGGTGGATCCAAGAACAAACTGCGAAGCCCTTGGATTAGCATTCGAGGAGGAGAATCGAGGGAAACTCTCTACAAGTTCGAGAAAATCCCAGAGATTGTACTCACATATTTTCTTAAATTTATATTACACATTTGTCGTGTATATTTCTTGTTTTTGTTTGCAGACTTGAAATTTTATCGCGTACAAATTTTTGGCACGCCCAGTGAGACCATCTCTACCTTCCATCTCTTCTCATCGAATATTCAACTACGTATATCACCAATGACATCAAAGAGCAACAAAAATCATGATTGCACATTCCAAGGCTACTGATGCTAAGTTTGTTCAGGAAGCTGCACATGTTGCCACCAATACCCGCGCTATTGGTCTGTGATAAGGAGTATGACGAGAGTCTCCGCCCAAAGTAGCATGGAAGCTCCATCGGTGCCAACTCCAGTCTTCGGTTCGACATCACCGATGAGCTATTCCTCCACGATGAGGATCCAAGACGTTCCTGCCTCGATTGAGAAGGCTCTTGCCATGCTCGAATTTGGATTCGAATCCAAGTTTTCTAAGCATGACGATGATTCATCAAGCACTGGATTAGCTTCTTCATATAAAGCTCTTTATTCATGATTTTGTATTGAAGATTCTGCTGCTTCTTCTGCTGCAATGCCTGCCATGATGACAAATACTTTGAGTCTCGAAAAATAAGTTTCGAACATGTCCAAAATGATGGAAACCATGATGAAACACATCAAGGACCAAGATGCTCTCATTGCTCAACTGCTCACCCAGAAAGATTACGCTTCTGAAGGAAGCCATGCGAATCCTAAGGAGCACCAAGAGCATGAAATTTTCTCATCTAAAGGCAAAGACAAGGTGAAGAAAGTACATGTGACCGTCGATGGAACTATCCCCGTGGAACAACTAAAGGAACTTGTTGAAGGCGTGATCAAAGATAAAAATGAGGGTGGTTCAAAGTCAAGCTTTACCTACTGCAAGCCTTACACTGCGGAATCGACAATCGACAACTTAGCAATGCTTGCTGGATATCAACCGCCTAAATTTTAACAGTTCGATGGGAAAGGTAATCCAAAATAACATGTGGCCCATTTTGTCGAAACCTGCAATAATGTTGGAACCTATGGTGACCTGCTAGTCAAACAGTTCGTCCGATCCTTGAAGGGCAACGCGTTTGATTGGTACACTGATCTCACTTCGGGGTCCATCGACAGTTGGGAACAATTGGAACAAGAGTTCTTGAATCGCTTCTACAGCACTAGAAGAACCGTTAGTATGCTGGAGTTGACTAACACTCATGAATGAAGGATGAACCTGTGGTCAACTACATTGATAGGTGGAGAAGTCTGAGTCTCAATTGCAAGAACAGACTGTCTGAACCCTCTGCCATAGAAATATGCATCCGAGGAAGGCATTGGAGCCTAAACTACATTCTACAGGGTATACGTCCGAACACATTTGAAGAATTAGCTACTCGTGCTCATGATATGGAATTAAGCATCACGGCCAATGCAACTGATGGGCTTCCTATTCAAGCTCCGCGAGTGCAGCCGCCTCGTCAAAGCAATGAAAGGCAAGAAAATAAAAAAGGAGGCAAACCTCATTCAAGATTCAATAATAAGGAGTCCATGGCAATAAACACAATTCCCATGAAAATTGTCACCAATGTGAGTCGAAAGGTCACCGAAAAGGTAGACTCCCCTAAAAATAGGTCGGTAAGAAGACATACTCTAAAAGAAATGCAAGAAAAGGAATACCCCTTTCTAGAATCTGATTTACAATGGATGTTCGATAATTTTTTCAAGGAAAAGCTCCTCAAACTTCCTGATATGAAACGTCCAGAGGAAGCCGATCAAGTCAATAATCCAAATTATTGTTGTTATCATCGCTTGATTGGCCACCCTCTCACTAAATATTTTGTCTTTAAAGACAAAATTATGGAATTGGCCCGTCAAGGAAAAATCCTTCTTAAAGAGGATAAAACATCGGCAAACCAAACAACAATAATGTTTGGGTCTGTGTGTTGCCCGATAGAAGTTCTACTCACATCAAGCAGTGCTCTGTCTGTACAAAGGGACTTGAAAGATCGTCAATTGAAAATGTTGTCGAAGACGATGATGAAGGATGGACTTTAGTCACTCGAAAAAGGGCCTGCAAGCCAAAGACAAAGAAATACATCTTTTCGAAAAGCATTCGTTCGACAAAGGCTAAAGTGACAATGAAAAAATGAAATGCAGCAAAGAAACAAAAAGGAGCGGCCACAACACCAATTCTTTCAAATTTTCAACTTCTTCAAGAGATTCGACAGCCCGTGACGCTGAGAGAATTTATACCCAAGGGGTATTTAAGTGACGATGATGATAATTCTACTTCTTATAATGTCGTCAAAGATGAAAATCCTCAAGTCGCACAAATTAGCACTGAAGTTGTGAAAAACTCAAAGTAGATGATAAATCACCGTGAATTGTGCAACGGCTGTCATTTTTTATGATGACGATTTAACTGTCGAGTTCAAAACTCACAATCGACCTTTGTTTGTTAGTACGTATGTTCGAGAACAGAAGATGAATAGGATTCTCATTGATGGGGATCTGCTGTCAATATTATGTCCGTACGTGCTACGAAAGAACTAGGAATCTCAAGCGATGAACTCTCCCAAAACCGTCTCATGATCCAAGGATTTAACCAAGGGGGCAAAGAACAATTGGTCTCATAAGACTTGAATTGCTCATTGGTGAGTTATCTTCAAGTGCGTTATTTCATATCATTGAAGCCAAAATCTCTTATAATATGCTCTTGGGACGACCCTGGATTCACGAGAATGAAATTATACCGTCTACTCTGCATCAAAGTTTCAAATATTATTGAGATGGTATAGTTCAAAAGGTTGTTGTCGACGATAAACCATTCACTAAGGCCAAGGCTCATTTTGCCGATGCCAAATTTTACCTTTAGAAAGAAGCAGAAAGAAAAAGAATCAATAAAGGAAGAAAGTCAAGATTTCAAAGTACCCATTTTGCGGTATATTCCAATATCAAAGAGAGAAGAAGGTCAATCTTCTTTTATTAGAAATGATATATTAAATGTTCCGCTCACCAAAATAGAGCCTGTTAAGAGTGAGAAAGTGAGCTTGCAAGGATTTGTTCGCCCTAAAGAAGAACCGACAGTAGAACATTACTCACTACCAACTAATTGGACTCAAGAAGGTTTTGATCCAAACGCATATAGATTTCTTGCTAAGGCCGGTTATAATCCAAATGAAAAACATGCATTGGAAAAACTCCCTCCTGAGGTAACTGGCGAGAAAACTCATGGATTAACACCTACGCAGAAAATGTTGAAAGAAAAAGGTTATAATGTTTAAAATTCATCGATGGGTCTTGGTTATCAACCATCTTCTCCAGTGCGTATAATGATCAAAATGGCAAGTTATAACTACGTGAATGAAAAAATGGAAGTCACAAGCCGAAAGAGATCTGTGTTTGATAGGTTGGAAAATAAGTCAAAACGTACTTCTGTGTTTGACAGACTTGGCCCGCAGCCGAAATATTTGAAATCGCCCGTCTATAAAAGATTTGGTAATAAAAGCAAGAGTACCAAATTGGCAAGAAAGAAAGTCTTACTCTAATGAAGAAGAACGGACCAAGAAAGCGAGTCTCCAATTTCTTCATGTACTATGGAGACTTATTCAATGTAAGAATTGAAACTATTTTTGAAGAATAAGGTCAAGAAAGTATGGCTTCCTGTCATCATATTACGATCAATGATCCTGAAGAAGAAGAAAAGATGCAGATGACGCTCCCACTGAATTTGAACAGGGAGTAAAAAATACAGTCG